GCATCCCGGCCGGGGAAGGCTCGGTGAGGCACCCGGCGTGGGGGGGAGTGGTCGGTCTCGCTGCAAGGGCTTGCGTTGCGATGGCTTTAATTGGTGCGGCTTTACGTGCAAGGGCTTTAACTGCAACGGCGTTAAGCGCGACGGCTTGAAATGCAACGGTGTTGGATGCAAGAGCTTTAAGCGCAACAGCTTTAGACGGACGCGACGGCGTTAAGTGCAAGGGCTTAAATGCAATGGCGTTATACGCAACGGCTTTAAGCGCAACACCAACAGGGGTTTAAAAAGCCTTAAAAAGGATCCTTAAAGCCCCTCGCCCTGTTGCTGCTCATCCCCTCCTGCACCCCATCGCCTTCCAGCGTAGCATTTGCAATGGGCCGCAGCTCCCGGGATGCTCCTCCACCCATTTCGGCCAGGCTGGGAAGCAGGGGGCTGCGCTGACCGGGGCCGTGCCACCAGCAGCCACCAGCTCTGTGCGGTGACAAACCCTCCAGCCATTACACAGCATCCCCCGGCCTCTGCGCTGACGACTGCAGCAATTACAACTTGCTCCAATCCTTTTTTTTTTTTTTTACAGCATTTTCAGGGCTTGGGGTGGTTCAGGGTTTGGTTTTTTTTTTTTTTTTTTCCCCCTCATTTGGCTGCAATGGAAATTGCAGGCTCGGGAGCTCGCAGTCCCCAGCTCCCCCGTTCGACAGCAAAATCTCATTTAATCAAAAGATGCGGTGACTGGATGTGCAGAAGCACTTCTCTCGTCTTTTTTTTTTTTTTCCCCTTAAGAACTGCCATTTTAGCTGTAGCAAACAAACACGCCGCATTGTCCCCGCGACACGACTCCCTCCGACAACCTGGCAGAACCCTGTCTGCAAATCCCCGCTGCCTGCACGCTGCCAGCCCTGTCCCGCCACCGCTGAGCATCCCAGCTCCTGGGGAAAAGGGGTTTTGGCCCCGGGGAGAGAGGAGAAAATCGGGGTTGAGCTGGGTTTGCAGGGCTGGCAGCGGCGTGGCGGGCAGATGTGGAGCGGGGACGGAGCCGATCGCAGCTGGTTCCCCTCCAGCCTCTTCCCGTTTCATTTCATCTCCCCTTGGATGCTGGCCCGGGGAGTGGGGGAAATAAAAAAAAAAAAAAGCTCTTTCATCCTCAAAAATGGTCTGGCACCCTCTTGCATCGAGCTCAAAGCAGCGAGATTAAAGAGCTGGCAGAGGAGGGGAGAGGGGGGGACCGGTCCCCAGGAGGGCTGGGTTTGGGGTGCATCGCTCTGGCCCCAGCCTGCATCCCCAGCTGCGGTGCGGACAGCGAGGGGACGGGGACGGTGGGCTTTGGCGCTGGCCCCTTCGCTGCCGTCCCGTTAGAAAGGCTCCCTGCGCCCACGTGGAGGGAGGGCCACCGCGGGGACCCCGGCACGCGCGGGCAGGGAATGGGGACCCCGCTGCCGTAGGAACAGGGACCAGGGATGCTGGCACATGCAGGCAGGGGACCAAGGACCCCAATGTCATAGGGACAAGGACAAGGGAGGCCAGCACATGCAGGTGAGGGGCTGGGGACCCTGATGGCACCGGGATGGGGACTAGGGACGCCCACACATGCAGGGAGGGGAGCAGGGACCCCAATGCTGCAGAAACAAGGAGCAGGGCCCCCAGCATGCACAGGCAGGGGACAAGGGACACCATTGCCATAGGGATGGGGACACTGGCATACACGAGCAGGGGACCAAGGACCCTGATGCAGTGAGGATGGGGACCGGGGATCTCCAGCAGGGGGTCAGGAACCCCGACGCTATGGGGACAGGGACACACTATGCCACGGGGACAGGGGACCCTGGCACACACAGGCAGGGGACTGAGGACCCCAAATGCCACATGGATGGGGACCAGAGACCCAAGCACACACAGGCAGGGGACCAGAGATCCTGACACCGCGGGGATGGGGACCAGGGACCCTGGCACATGCAGGCAGGAATCCAAATATCCCAATGCTACGGGAACAGGGACCGGGGACCCCAGCACATGCCCAGTACCGTAGGGATAGGGACCAGGGACCCCGGCACACATTGGCAGGGGACCAGGGACGCTGATACCATGGGGCAAAGACTGGTGACCCCAACAGATGCGGACAGGGGACTAGGGACCCTGATGCCATGGGGACAGGGACCAGGGACCCCAGCACATGCAGGCAGGGGACCGAGGACCCCAAATGCCACATGGATGGGGACCAGAGACCCAAGCACACACAGGCAGGGGACCAGAGATCCTGACACCGCGGGGATGGGGACCAGGGACCCTGGCACATGCAGGCAGGAATCCAAATATCCCAATGCTACGGGAACAGGGACCGGGGACCCCAGCACATGCCCAGTACCGTAGGGATAGGGACCAGGGACCCCGGCACACATTGGCAGGGGACCAGGGACGCTGATACCATGGGGCAAAGACTGGTGACCCCAACAGATGCGGACAGGGGACTAGGGACCCCGGTGCCATGGGGACAGGGACCAGGGACCCCAGCACATGCAGGCAGGGGACCGGGGACCCCAGTGCCATGGGGACAGGGACCAGCGACCCCAGCACATGCAGGCAGGGGACCGGGGACCCCAGTGCCATGGGGACAGCTCACTCCCAACGTGCCAGCACCAGGGACACCCTGGGAAACGCTTTTTGGGACACAGACCCACAGCACAACCACACGTGCCAGAGGCACCGCGCGTCCCAGAGGCACCGTGCCACCACCGCTTTGCCATCCTCATCCCCAGCAGGGCCAGGAAAGCCCCACCAAGAAAGGCCAAAGTAAGGGGGGGGGGGACATTTTGCTTTCCCAAGTCCCCATCGGCTCCTCCTCCAAGCCTCCTCTCCCTTTAATTACCTGCGATAAAGGGTCCAGATCGGTAATCCGAAAAACAAACCTCGTCACAGCTAATTAGGTGCCAAAGGCCAAGCGCGGGGCTGGTTTATGGGGCCACCGTAACAACCTGCAAGGACTCTGCTCCGGCGCTGCCCATCCCTCCCCAGCATGATGCAACCTCGGGGCCGCACCGGCGCTTGCCGCATCCCGGCACCCCGCGGTACCCGGCACCCCAGCACCTAGGACGGGGTCTTATTTGCAATGCATCCGCGGTTCCGGAGGCGGCTCC